GCCTATGATGATGATGATACGAATGTGTTGTTATTGATTTCCCGTTGTTTCACTCTTTGCGTCGCGCACATTGACACCTTGTGAATGTTGCACCTATGCTGCTGGTTGTTGCCACTTTCGTCATTGCTAGATCCTAGGCTTTCAGTGCATTTCACTTTCTGATATGCTACAGTTATGGAGGGAAGGGCCTGTGGAAGTCAAGTCTTGGCCTTATGGACGTCAACAGTCAGGTCCTCTGGGGCAAGGTAGTCCAAGAGTCAAAGCTGTCTTCAGGCGTCAACCATGACCACCAGATCGAGCACACACAAAGGCTCAGAATCTGCTTCCAGAGCACTAAGCGCATACTGGATCAAGGCACACACTGGCCATGACAAAATCTGGGCTGCACGAATTGGAGAATACCAGCCTTAGCCATTCAAGGAGGCAACTGGAGGCAGACCCGGCCGAGTCAACACTGCAAAAGACAGCCCTCTGCTCAGTAATCCATTTTGCCTTCCGCTTGCTGGAAGTGCTGGACCGCTGTTCTGCGCTGGCGCTGGAGAAAGGGGGAGCTGTAAGAGAGTGAAGAGAGACAGCAATTGCTATAGCCACAGCTGGAACATGCTATAGTACCATAGCTTATGAGTGAGAGAGGGAGAGAGAGGGGGGTATTGAAAGTGAGGGATGTATTACCTGGTCTTTTGTCTGGTGTTGCTTCAGAAGACCGGCATTATCTTGTCAAGTGAGACTTTGACAAGAGCAACGACTTTGTGGAAAAAGCCAGCACGACAGAGAACACTGACTTGGAGACAGACTTCGGGCTCTGGAGAGAGCCTTTGAGTGCGAAGAAAGTGGTTTCATTGCTAGTAGTCCCTAGGATGGTGACTTCTGAGGTGGGGATTGGGAGTTGGAGAGCCCGGTGGTAGAAGGGGGAGAGAAGGGACCATATATTGTAGCAGTCGGTGTGATTCTTTTTTCTTTTCAATTCTGTTTGTCTGATTGCATGGATTCAAACTCGGGTCTGTATTTCAGCAGTTCATGGGTGTACCAAGTGGGTTAATTCCGCTGGCTGTATGGAGTGATCTTCTTCTCCTGCTCGTCTTCTTCTTCTGTCTATATGGTGCGACTAAATTGCTATGTCTTTGCTGTTAGCATTCAGTGAGCATTGTGAGCATCGCACTGAGAATGATGGTGCACTTTTCTCTCAAGTTCGGTTCATTACAGAAGTCTGTGCACCGGTGATTTGAATCTAAACAGTTGTACAAAGAGGGCAGCTGAGTACAAAGAAGGAGATGTGGACAAGGTGGACAGTTCCCTTACGCGGGTGGAAGTCTGTGCGCCGTTGAT